GAATTCCCCAGCCAGCCATGCTGGCTGGGGAATTCTGGGGGTTGAAGTCCACTCATCTTAAAGTGGCCAAGTTTGGACAACACTGCTGTAATGGCTTTGCAGATGGTAGGCTTTGCTTCCTGGCATCGGGGCACGGTTTTGCCCACGTGGCGGGGGCAGAGACCAGGCTCAAGAGGTTGCCTGACCATCCTTCTGCGTGTCCCGCTAGCGATGCTCCCCCTTTGGGGCGCAAGGCCCCGAGGCCCCAGAGACCTTCCACCGGGTCGCCCAGAATCATTTGCCACAAGGATCATTTGGGGATCCCCGTTTTCCCTCCATCTCCTTGCCTGGATGAGATGCTTGGGGTCTCGGATCATTCGTTCCTGTTGGGGGGAGGAAGAAAAAATCACTGGGTAGGGAGGAACCCAGTAAAATGGACTTAATCACGATGCAGCCCAAGAGACCATTCCTCACCCCAGTCGCCCCTTACCCTTTTCTAAAACATTCCAGATTTGAGTCACAGATGGCAGATATTTTTTTCCACTTTGACTTTTTTTCCCTTTTCTTTTTTGGAGGCAGAAAGATCTGTCTGAGGGCGTCCTGTTTCTACCGAATAAACCGCTCCTCTTCCTCTCTCATTTTCTTGCTCTTTAAAAATCCCCCAGCTGCTCCTTCACAGTAGCTAGTCCAAATTAACATGGCCCCCTTTCCCTCCCCCTCGCCTACCGTCCTTGCTCCGACACACTAACAAGCCCTGCTTTTATTAACCTGAACCAGTTGCCTTAACTAGACGCTAACCTCTTTCTCTAGATGATGTTTTTAACCTCTGCTTTAATTAGTCACGAAATCTAACTAGATCCTTAACCAGCTTTAACCACATAACCTCTTTCCCACTCAACGGATGGTAACTAATCAGAAAGAATAATCACATCGTTTTTTATCCCAGATCCTGAAAATGGTGCATTTGATGTAGCATGGAAGGAGGGGGTGTTGGAGGAATGAAAGAGGCAAAATTGAAGGGAAAAAATTGCTGGGAAAAAAACCTTTTGGTGTTAGCCTCGCTTCTCCTGCGGATATCATTCCTAAGTTTTGGCAAGTCACACAACGGAGGATGTTTAAAAATATTTGCACGGGCCGCAGAGAATTAAACCGTTCCTGCGCTGCCCGGGGAATCTGAATCCAGAAGCGCGTTCATGAAATCCTTTGCTTTGTTTTCAGGATTGGGGTCAAACCCTCGAGAATTTTACAAAATATATCTCTTGACTGAGAAATACACCTTGGAAAGCCAGTGGGGGAAAGGACAAGCGTGGTGGTTTCCAGGCGAGGAATTTGATTTCCCACGGGCGGGAGGGCAGAACCAAGCTGAACTGCAGTCTGCGCCACGCTGTGGAAAGAAAAAAAAAACAGAAGTTCTGGTCATGTGCAGAGTGCCTTCCTTTCCCAAGAAGCTGCTTAGGTTGGCTTGGACAGCTGCCTTATACCAGATCACGGTGTTCTTCAACCTAGGTCAGTGTTTCTCAACCTCAGCAACTTGGAGATGTGTGGACTTCAACTCCCAGAATTCTCCAGCCAGCTGTGCTGGCTGGGGAATTCTGGGAGTTGAAGTCCACACATCTTCAAGTCGTTGAGGTTGAGAAACACTGACCTAGGCGATGCTACGCTAGAGGACGGCTTTTTCTCTGACCCTTTTAAAAAGTAGGTGGAGGCACCTGCTAGCAAACACTGGGCCCTTTCACCACGTCTTTTCCATGCTGTTCTTTCGGGAACACGGAGGACTCGCCTGCGTCCTGCCAGTTGCAAAGGGTCCTTCCGCAGGTTTCCTGCGTAACAAAGAGACGGAAATCCTACTCCTCCCGGCCCTCCAAATCTCCCATTTTTCCCACGCCCGGGCCCAGAAGCAGAGACAAAGCAGATCCGCTAAGATTCCAGTCCTCATGATTCGGAGCCACGTTCTGGATGGAAAGAGGCCTGGATCTTAAATCTTCTCCCACCCTTTTTTTTTCTTTTTTGCAGCAGCAGCTGAGCAAGATGGGTGGGCGAGGGGCTTCCCTAATGCTCCCTGGCGATGCAAGGGAGGGGCGAATTCCCCCCCCCCCGGCCTGCCTCCCCCTCGACCAAAGTGTGCATGGGTTTCAAACCATCTCAAACGAAACCCCGCGCCTGGGAAATCGCGCCTCGGAGGAGCCGCCTTAGAAACAGGCCGCCACCCACCCAGGGACCCTCCGCCCTTCCCCTTGGGTTCCTTCCTCCCACTGGCTCGTCCTGGGGAAAAAAAAATCCCATTTTCCCCCACTTGTTTTTCACGTCTGTGTTTGTTGTTTTTTTTCTTTCGTTTTCCTTTTCCCTTGCAGAAGGTACTCCGATCCGAGGTAAGAGAACCTTGCTTGTGCCCGAGGGCACACCTGCCCCCTTCCTAAAAACTGTATTTTTCCTCTGGATTATAACCAGTTATCATTCCATGTAGTTGTGTGGTTCGTTCTTTTTCCAGTCGAGAATTGTGTTACCTTGTCCCTGTTGGCAATTTCTTTTCCTGCCTGGTGTCCCATCTCCTGTGCCTTCGATCCTTGACTGTCCCCCATTTCTTTTCTTCTCTGAATTCTGTCTTACTTTCCAGTACACGTATAATATGACTCTCCCTCTCTCTCTCTCTATATATATATGTATATATATGGGGTTCCTTATTGTAAATTGTCCTTTCGTCTTGCTGGGTGGACTGAGGCACCACTTGCGAAGGGATGGAAGACTTCCTGAATTTCTGGCCCATTTGCAATTTATGGCCCTGCGGGTTTAAAAGCTGGTCTCTTGGAGGCCCGGAAGGGCTGTAAACATGCCTGTTTTTTTGGTCTGGGTATCTAAGAATAACTCTTCTTCACATTCCGCCAAGATGACAAGTGTTAATTTGACACAGCTCTGCAGTCCAGGACACAGAAAGTGGGAAATTTTTAATGAAATCGCAGTGGTACTTTCTGGTGTGAAAAAGAACAGGAGAAAAATCTCCCCTGGAAACATGAGAGACATGCAGAAGCAGAACAAAGGCTGGCTTTTTTTAAATCCAGAAGCCAATTTCTCATGTCGTCCAACAGACACCCCAGGAACCCTCTCGGCCACAGACATAGACTTCTCTGAAGATGGAGAATTTATTTAGCTACCTTGCTAAGTAGCTGAGAATCAACCCTATCCTAATTCGGAGGGTCTGAATGCTAAATCTTGAAGGCAAGCAGCAAAAGATTATTTCTGTCTCTTCTTTCCCAGAGAGGAATAGACTTCCCTGCAGGAAAGAAAAAGGGTGAACGGGCCTTTTGCTCTGATCCAGCAGGGCTCTTCCTAGGTAGTTTCGTTAAGATAGCAACATGGAGCCTCCATGCATAGGGGCAGTCAACCTTGGATTGTGATGGATCCTGATGACAAGGAACCTGGAAAGCTTCATGGTGGGCTGGTGGAGTTTCCATGACTGGCAACTGTGGAGGGAAGAGGGAATGGCCTTGAGGGACAGGAGGAAGAACCGCTGCTAAGGCAATGGACAGAAAAAGGAAACCGGACTCCAGGGCAGGACTGTAACATATGCAAGTGATCCTCACTATGTCACACAAAGATAAAGGGAGGAAGGGGGAGGCACATTCATATTTTGTTACTATAACTTTACAATAAAGGTAATACTGGTCTGCACCAGTGTTTCTCAACCTTGGCAACTTTAAGAGGTGTGGACTTCAACTCCCAGAATTCCCC